GACATAGTAGAATTTGTGTTGGAAAAGAGGGGATACCACAAGGTTTTTGTTAGATAAATAGTTAGAAGAATCCCTCTTAAAACCCCATTGCCCCTTTTTTTTCATGAGGGTCACAAACACAGAAGCAAATCTCAGTGACATTGTGTCAAAAAGTAAGCAACCAAGTTACATGGTCCTTGAATTGTAGAAATCTATAAGAAATATGTGTGTAATACTCCAATACAAGGTTTTAAAAATTGCCAATCCCCGCTGCTATTTATAATATGAATAATAATATTTATGAGACCCCGCCGTACCCATATGAGTAGGACTCCAAATGATAACCATTAAATTTTGACACAAATCTCTAGAAAGGATCCCCAAATAATAGCCACTACTCACATTGGTGTGGGAGGGTATCATAGTGTCATTACTCTTATAATATTTCTCTATTTTTATTTTTATTTAATAAAAGGGGTGGAAGAGTATCAGTGTCATTACTCTTATAATATTTCTCTATTTTTATTTTTATTTAATAAGAAGGGTGGCACAAAGCCCATCCTTTTTAATTCATTATTTTTTATTTTTCAAATTTCATAATTTATATTTTATAATTTAAAGGCTTTCTTTTAATAAGATGGCCCACACCCCTCTCTTATGAGTGAGAAGCAACTCGACTACGTGCCCTTTGGTGGCTCAATTTCACAATTCGTCATTTCCCTCACCCCCTTATATAAATAGTAGTCCCCCGTGACCCTTTGGTAATGTGGGACTCATACTATTGCCCAATGCAATAAGAGAGAGAGTGGGAGAGAGAGGGCTAACAAGAGAGAGAGAGAGAAAAGGGTGAAAAAAATGTCTATGGATTAAGAGAGAAAAAAATGTCTATGAATTAAGAGAGAGAGATGGGTAATACAAGAGAGAAAATAAGTAATGTAAGAGAAAGAAATAGGTTTGATTTTTAAATGGGATCAAAATCAAACTTCGTACAAAACTATTTAAATAAAACTTCTTACAAAATCAAACCATTCGTATCCCTTTAATGATATTGGTCCCATTTATTTTCAGAAAATATGATGAACCTTCTTACAATATCACTTTTAAATTTAAAATGTCACAAGAATGTATTCTTTTTATATTTTAAAAAATTTGAATTGATTCAAATGGCACAAGAAATACTTTCATTGTCGAATTGGATTTTTGCGGGAATATATGTTTTTATCTATCTAGATAATTGAGATAGCAAAGATAAATTGTTAACTATGAATTGAATTTAATGGACAACAATCACACAACAAGTTTTCAGTATTTCTATACTTTCGTAAAATACTAATAAACCATTATGCAATACTATTACTTTTTTGAAAAGCTTAAAAAATAGATTTTTAAGAAATTTAGTGGTTTTTTTGAAAAAAAAATTTAATGCTAGATCGGGCTGACCTGTCCAATTCTCCGATCCATAGAGCGCCAATCTGCTGATCCCACCCGATTTTTCAAATAGGTGATCTAGGTCACTGATCTGTTTTTTAAAACATTGCCCTAGTCCATATCTCAACTAATGATATACTAATGATATAGTGAATGTAAGGTTGTTAAAAGAGCCTAAGGCTGGCCCATGCTTAACCTAGGAACCTAGAGGCCCAGCCCATGTCTAGCCTTACTCTTGGGCTTGGTGGGTCAGGCAAGACCAGTAGATATTTTTTTCTAATTCATCCAAAACAAAAAAAAAGGTCGACCCTTTTGATCCTTATCTTTACCCCTTGCCCCGGCCCTATCATGCCCGGCCTGAAACCTTAGGCCCAGCTTCAAGCCAACATTAGTGGCCCAGGCCCATGCTGCTTAGGGCCGGCGACTGGGCCGCCCTATCCTCCATGGTCAAAGGTTGGTTAACATTGGATACTAAAACTGTCTTTGGAATGTGATGATTTAATCAAATCAACTCCCTAAGAACTATGGTGATCGATTATAAACTATTTATGACATGATTCTATACTAACATTGGGGTTAGCAATTGGCCCAATCCTAAAAATCTAGGGCCTGGGCCACATAATGTGGCCAAGGGCTAGGCCTAGGCCAGGGCCACGGGAGGCTCGCCAGGCTTGGCTCTAAATTTTTCTTTGCTCTTTTAATTTTTTCGTTTCTTATTAGGCCCCACTTAGTCGTGAACGAGCCAGGGTTCCGTTAGCCTACCAGGGCTAGCTGGGCTAGGGTTCGTCCACCCAGGCTGGGCCCGCCAGCCCAGGCCTAGCCCAGTGGGCATAGCCCGTTGCCAGCCTTAATAGTGATCGGTCACCGACAACAAAATGAATATTTGTCATTTCAACACTATGCATGAGCTTTAGGTTGATTATTTCAGGTGTAAGGTAAGCAACTCACCAATGCAATAGAGGCGGCAACGGATCGGGCCTGGCCTGATTGGACCTGACCTAAAAATTAAGATATCTAGGTATTTAAATATATTTTAACCTACTTTCATAAATTGGGAAATGTGGGACCTAGACCTGACTGGGCCCGATCAAACCAGACCTGGACCCGAAATAGCGTTCGGTTTCAAGATTTGGACCCATACCCGAACTGCCGGGTCTAATTTTTGGAGCCACACCGGACCCAGGTCGGGTCCGGATCCCGGTCTGGGTCCATTGTCACTCCTACCATGTAAGTCTTGAATCTACGATATTCTTTCTAGTTCAGAAACTTAATGTTATGCCTAGGTGATAAAACACCCCCAATTCACAGTCCCTACTAGCATACACAAGACGCATGTATGGGGTCGGGTAATGAATGAACCATGCAATTCCTCTCTTGGAAATTTGGGAGGGGTGAGGAGGTTTGCAGAGATAGTGATGGTAGCATTATTTTTTGAAACACTGCCCCATGTCTAACCACTGAAATGGCAGTGCTACTTATTATTTGGAGGGAGAAGAATTGGGGGAATTCATTAAGCATAGAAAGGGACTTCGAAAATATCATCAACTGGTACAATCGACATTCGAGACCTCCTTGGTGTTTAAGATCTATGTGGTTCCAAATTATGGAGTTTATGTATGGCGGACAATGTTTTCACGTTCAGTCATGTTACAGGGAGGTTAATTATTTGATGGACTATTTGGCCAAGAAAGGAGCAGCCTTTGATTCTTTATTTAATTTCTCGTACTATGTTTTAACCTTCTTTTGATTGTAATGGCTACGTTATATGAATGAATTTTATCGTCTCTTGTCATAAAAAATAAAAAAATTAAAAATAAAAACCATGCAGTAAAGTTTCCATACCGGTTCAAGTAAATGAGGTGTTCACATAGTGGGAGGTCAAAGATGTTACAGTCATCATTAAAGCCTTGTCCCAACTATTTGGAATCAGCTGTCAAAAATAGCATAGTAGGAGGTAAACTTCTAGCAAGAGGTACATAATTTGGGACAAAAACTTAAAAGTTTGCCTGAAGATGTAGTTTCAGTGTCGGAAGCTTTTCATGGCTTGAAAATGTATTTTCATCTCTAATTATAAAATTTAAGAGTTAAAAAAAAAATACAGATAGAGCGATTTATAAACACTAAGAAAACTTGAAAATAGGCGGTCCAGATAACTTGTCACAAGATGTACCAGACTTTAAATTCTTTTTTTCGTTATATTCACACATGCCAAGGTCGAAATGATCAATTGGAGGATTTTCTAATATCAAAAACACATCTTCCAGAGGATTTACACACCTTACTTCAAAAGATTGCCACCTATATAAACTTTTCCCTGAATTATAACTTCCTAGAATCAAACAAGAATCATTCAATTCGAATGAAGTGTTTAGGAAACCAAAACCTTTGTTTTTAAAGAAGAGTGTAATGACCTTCGGTGGATCCCTTTGATCAAGAAAATACTCTTAATTAGGCATTTTGTTCAGTGGATTAAGTGTTAGCGCGTTCAACACATTATATGTACTTGTGGGTGTGAGGAAAAGATTTAATACCTGCGAGCTCACACCCAAAACTCCTAAAAAACCTCACGGGAGATTTTTTTCTTTTTTTCCTTTTTTCCTTTTTTTTTTTAGATTTTTTTTGGCTGTGATAAAAATAATTGGCACCAATTTTTGTAGATGACTCGTATTCATCCCACTAAAATAGCTCATTAGAAAATTGACAAAAAAAAAAAGAAAATATTTTCCATTGAGGAGAGAGAAAATACCTTGAATGTTCACAATCCATTTTAGGAAAGACAATTGTGTTAGGGACCAGAGAGGAATTTGTTTGAACCTAAACTCTGCATAAGGCATCACTATTGAGGTTAAGAATTCAAAAACCAAGGGAAAACACATTTATTGTTTACCCACAAATATAGCTGCTTATCCATATAGTCCGTGAGATTACTCAATTAATAAGGTATGGCCTGGTTGATTTTGTATGGGATTCTTACCCATAAAACAGATGCTAATTTGTTGCCAAGATTCATTGACAACCCCAATCCTAATGCCAAACAATTTCCAGATCTCTTCAGTGGTTAGAAAGATTAAAACCACACCTAGATCCATATTCCATTGATTATATGACTGCATTCTTCGCTCTATCTAACATGTGTACCATCTCAACCATAAACCAAAGATTTTTAAAATTGTTGGGCCAACTCAAAATCGTTATGTTAGATAGAGATTAAGAGCTAACTGAGTCTGATCCAAAAACCCCCTAATCACCCAATTCAGTTTCTTTTATCTTTTTTCTTTTTCTTTTTTTTTTCATTAAACATATCTTGATCCATCTCAGGAATTGCCTGAGATGGGCCTGGCAAATTGGAATCAAACCCCTGGCGAATCAAGGCCAATTCCGAATTTGTAGCACTACCATAAACACAGCCCATATGGTGAGTGACTGATAAAATTCCAGTAACCTCAGTCAATAAACATGATGGAAAACAACCAAAGAGATAAAAATAGGACAATTACTTTCTTCTACCTTTTGTTTTTTCTTTTCTAATAACTTTATGCTTCGACAAAAATAATAATAAATTGTTTACAGGACACAGGGCTGAGGCTTACCCATGAAAAACACATGAATCTCAGACAAAATTGGAGCATAAAAGAGAACAGGTTGATAGACACTAATTCAACTGAAATAAAGAAATAGATGGCATCAAATACATTCACAAATAATGCAACTTGGGATTATACAAAAAGCCATCCCATACATGCATTAGGAAATCATTACACACACATGGTGTTTTAACTTCAACCTTGTGGAAAGCAGCAGGCAATTAATGGGCAGCCTTTGGTTCTTGGAGTAAAACATATGATGATGTTCCCTGAAACCATGATATCCAAGAGCAGATAACCCATAAAATCAAAATCAGAGAACACATAGTGGGCTTCGATTATTTTGGTAAATTAGTCATCCAAACAACATTATCCAGGCAAAAGTACATTTCTACAAAGCCATATGGCATAAAAGAAGCCTCAGGTAGATTTTAGAGGCAAACCTGAGGGCACACAACCACTTCCAAAAAACATGAAGAAAAATGTCATTTATTTCAACTTTGAATAACCACTCATACAATTACAAGAAAGCATCCTTATCTTTCAATGGAATAGTAAATTTATTCTCTCCCACAATCCCAGGCATACTGTTGAGGACAGAAAACTGTCGTAACCTCTCTCTCTCTCTCTCTCTCTCTCTCTCTCTCCTCCTCCTACACACACACGACGACGACGACGAACGAACTACTACTACGACGACGAACGAACGACGACGACGAACGTACGTACGTACGTAGTAGTAGGTAGGTAGGA